GACGCCGTAGCAGACTCCGCTATCCGACTTGCCACCAAGCTTCTCGGACTTGCACTGCCCATAGACGACGTGGAGTAACTACAGAAGGACATAAGAGATGACTATGTCATCGCCCAAGAACTTAAGATAACCTGCGGGTGGTTGTCTTTGAAGTGCGGTAAGTTAATGACGGTCGCCTCTGCTGCACTTCACGTAGCTCAGCACGTCGACTTGAAGGAGGTACTAGGTTCCTTTGGAACATCTTGGAAGGACTTTAAGAAGGACAGAGTAGCACTTGCCGAGGTCGACAACAAGTCACCTCAAGAACCTGATCAAGTACCTAGTTAAGTCATCCGCTGGAGTTACTCAGGTCATCATAAGTACCTAGTCAAGTCGTCCCTAAGTACTTGGTCAAGTCACCAAGTCCTTCAAGTCCTTAGATATACCAAGGCTAAATCTCCAGGCAGACTCGCTGCCGGAAAGAAGCTCGCAGAGATGAACAGAAAGAACTAAGCCAAAAAGAAGAAAAGGTGGAGGACGAAGGCGAATCCTTCATTAATCCTGGGTACGTCATCGGCGCGTTGGGAGTTGCTATTGCAGCAGGCAGCCTCTACTTACAATGGCGGGCTACGAAACCAAAAGTAGAACCCGTGCATGTGACGCAGGAGCCCCCTAAGAGAAGCAAAATACCCGTAATGGAATAACCTTCTCACTTTGTAATATAATGCCAACCGCGTTATTGAAAACTGTTGAAGAGGCAGCTATTATTACTTCTATTGTTGCGGGTATTGGTTGGGTAGGTAAAAAGGTGCTCAAAGAAGACTTTACTGAAGACCCGAGCAAGAGCTTCGCTGGCTTTGCTAAGATGACCGCTGCCGTTGGCGGGGCTATCATGGTAAAGGATTACCTACGGAAGGAAAAGTACATCCCTAATGTATAAATGGCTACCTTGGTCGCAGGCGGAGTTATTGCAGCTTTAGCATTCACTGGAGCTAATTATGGTGGTCAATATTTGGATAGATTAGTCAGAGGCGATCACAGCGGCGCCGCCGAAAGGAAGAGACACGACTTAGCGCTGGAAAAGTATCAAAGGGACGTGGCGGCTTGGAATGAAAAAAGACAAGCTTACAGGGATTGGTTGGACAAGAACTACCAAGACAAGATGCAGGCGGATAAGAACTTCGAAAATACAGACTACGCCTTTAAACTTTATGCGCAGGTGCACCCCGACTTTAGAATGAGAAAGCCTCAGTTTAAGAATTACTACCAGCCTTCTAAGAAACAAAAAGACAATGAGCTGGTATTTGTAGGAGTCGCAGGACTGGCAGGAGGCGTAGCTTTGGCGTATCTAATATAATGATCGTCTTTTTGGAAAGCGACAAGAATGACTTTACCACTTACTTGAATCCCCCCATCAAAGCCTATAAGGTTCGACTCATAAGTTGCTCTTTGTACAATTCTTGGTATAATCTAGTCAATAGCATGGTCACCGTACTTAAGGCGCCTGGCAAGTATCAAGGCGAAATGCTGTCCGATGGACACTACACGCCAATCACCCTTGCTAAG